TCATGGAGATCAAACCAAGTGGTTCAGGTCTCCTGGCCAAGATTACAAGAAGCAGATGAGTCCCATAAAACAACTAATATTTCTTAATTGACAGAGAGGAGAGTGATTAGCCACATCTGAATACCAAGCATTTTCCTAAGTATAGCCAATTGAAATGTTCTTCAACTACTCAGACTTTCCTGCAAGACAATAAAAAGGGACCCCCCCCTTCTTATGGGGGTCTTTGGCTTTACTGAGGTTGCCAGTCTGACCTTCTTTGTTAACAGTTATACATGTCACTGTTAATAAACTGGTTTTGCTTGGAGAAAGTACCTCAGTTTACAGGATAGTATGGATTAAAGTAGTACAGGATAAGGGCAGGAAGACAGGTTAAAACATTACCACAGTATTTTGGGTGAGAAGTAAAGAAGGCCTGAAGTAGGACAATAACAATAATAGTGTGAATAATAGAATTGATAAGACTGGCTGCTAATTGGATAATGTGGGACAATGAGAAGGAGTCAAAGATGGCTCTAAGGTGATGAGCATGGAAATGTAGGAGGGAAATTGGTGCCATTGACAAAGACAAAGAAGTCAAGAAGAAGAGGGGGTTTGCAAGGAACGATGATTGTTTCATTTTTAGACATGTTGAGCTTCAGGTACCTGTGCAATATCAAAGTAAGGATATCCTTTCAGTCACTGGAAATGTATCAATCATAGAAGAGATGTGTGTTAAAGACATCAACTTGAAAGTCTTTTGCTTAGAAGTAAGAGTTAAAGCTGGGAAAGTAAATGCAATTTCCCAGGAAGTGGGTCTGGAAAGAAGATAGTTCTCTATAGCCTTGCTTCTTCTGTGGGAATGGGTTCCCTTTGGCAGCTCCTCTCCCTCCCCCCACCCCAGCACCCCAACAATTCTTCAGCTTCCAGGTTCTGCCAGCAGTGTCTGAATAATTTATTTTACCTTCTATTGTTTTCCTACTTAAAATCATAACCTCTAGAATATTAGCACTGGAAGGACCCTTGGACAGCACTATGTCAGCTCTCTTATCCAGTATCTGTAACTTTCCATGTTACCTACAAAACTAGGTTGTAAACTTCTTGAGAGCAGGGATTCTGACACCTACTTCTTTTGTGCTTCTCTCTGCCACCACCCCTCCATACCTAGCACATTACTGAGTACATAGTAAGCACTTTACAACTTTTTTTTTTTTGCTTTTTGGTTAGGCAATGGGATTAAATGACTTGCCCAGGGTCACACATGTCTGAGCCTGGATTTGAACTCAGGTCCTCCTGAATACCGAGCTGGTGCTGTATCCACTGCACCACTACCTGCCCCCTCAGTGCCACCTAGCTGCCCTGCTACAACTTTCTAAAAAAAAAAAAACCTGGGTCTCCCTAGTCCCAGATGGAAGTACAGAAGCCATTCCCTGTCTTGACTCCACTACTGAATAGCACAGAAGCTTTGACTTGCTCTCTTTTTAATCTGGTCTGGTTTATCCCTCCTCAAGCAGCCAGGGGCTGGGGGCTGGGTACCCTGCTCCCAGAGTATTAACATATTGATGCCAGCCGGTGCAGACACCCTATTGGTATAGTCCCTGAAACTCCCAGCTCCTGACCTCAGGAAACCCAAGAGCCTCAACCTCCCCAGCAGCTGAGATCACTGGCATGTGTCACCACATCTGGCTTTAAAAACTTGCTGTTGAAGCACACAGAGGTACAGATCCAATCAAATATTTATACAGCCACTGTATAAGCCATTCCTCTAGGTGCTTGCAAGATTAAAGTATGGAGATCCTTGGACCTAAAGGAGCTTGCAATTTAGTTGTGAAGACAAGGTACACACTCCAAAGTTAAATAACAATAAAAGAGAGCAGCAGCAACAGCTCAAGAAAACAGCAGGAGCGCTGTCCCAGAGCAGCACTGAGATTCATTGCCAGGATGTCACCCAGTCTCACTCCCTCAGAAAGAGGCTGCTGCTAGTCACAGTAAATATGCCTATCTAGGTTACATGATGACAGCACAACCAGTTATCTGCCCTAGCTGAAGTCTGAAAGGGCTGAAGCTCAGGGACTGATCAGCTTCTTCACAGGCAGGGCCTGTTCATCTTTTGTTTGCAATATACCCTGTTTCTCTAAAGCTCCCCACATCCCACATCCCAGGCACCAGCTGCTCCTTCCACTCTGTGCCCCAGGCGGACAGTTCCCAGCCTCAGGCCACCTGTCACTCCACACCATTCTCTCTTCCCATTGTCAGTCCAATGAAGCAGCTTTTCTATTGGCCAAAAAGTTTCCCATTGGGTGATTTCAAGTCTGTACCTTCCCGATTAAAAGCCATTTGACATCCACTAATGTTGCTGCCCCAGACACCTGAGATTGCTGTTCAATCTCCAATGTCACCTGCAGTTAACAGCACAGAGCACTGAGCTAGAATCCTCTTTGGAGACACAAACCAGTAAATCCATTTAGGTGTTACTATGATCCCAGAAGCCTGATGAGAAAACACAATGTATAACAGGTTTTAGCACTAATTTCATTCTGCACATTTTCTGTGGTATCATTATCCTGTGCATGTAGCTTCCAGGGAGGGAGATGCAGAAATTTATAATCTTGCCATTACCCATATACTCCACTTCCTTGATCGAGAAATCCAAAATTCCTTTATTTGATCATCTGTTACCATTCTCTTCCTCCCTATGCTTCTCCCCATTAAATCTGTTTTTCCTCTTCACTGTGACTTTCAGGTTCTTTTCCCCTCAGTTTTCTCCCAGATTATCATATGTGCTCTGGACTCACTTTCCTCCTTTCTCTATCTTGACCAGTTCAGTAGTCACTGTCCTCTACTCTCTAATCTTTTACCCATTGTCCTATTGCCATTCATGCCTTGTAAAACCCCACCTTTGTCCCAACATCCACCTCCACTATTCCTCTGCATGGGATGCTAAGCAGCACTGGAGAGAGTTACATGAAGGTGCTAACTAGGTCCGTGGTAGATTTGTTCCCTAATCTTAAATGGGCCCTCATTACAGCAAGGCAATCCTTTTGTTTCTTCCTAATTTATTCTCTTTTGCATTCCCCCACAGTCACTATCCTAAAGTTACCTTCTCTCTTCAGAAATCCCACACCATCCCCTCTCCACAGCCTCATAACTAAAGACCTCAGCACATTCATTACTAAGCAAAGAGCTCATTTGACCAAAGCTTCCAGAGTATTTAAACCCCCCCCTTACCAACTTCCCCTATGATTTCCAACCTTTTATTGATTCAATCCATTTACAAGTACCCTTGATCTGCTCCCTTCTGCCCCAACAATCATCCCCTCTCACACATACATCTTTAACCTTTGCTGTTGTTATTGTTCAGTCATTTCAATCATGTGGGGTTTTCTTGGCAAAGATGCTAGAATGGTTTACCATTTCCTTGTCTAGCTAATTTTCTAAATTAGGAACTGAGGCAAACAGGGTTAAGTGATTTGCCCAGGGTCACATAGCTAGTAGGTGTCTGAGGCCAGATTTGAACTCAGGAAGATGAGTCTTCCTGAATCCAGACCCAGCACTCTATCCACAACACCATCTACCTACTAATTCTTTCCATGCCACCTTTAAACACAGCTGTATGTCTCCTATTCTTAAAAAATAAATCCCCACTTGACTCTAATATATTTTTATTAATTTATTTTAATTTATCAATAATCACTTCTATAAGCTTTTGAGTTTTAAATTTTTATCCCCCTCCCAGTCCGTCTCCCTCCCCAAGATGGAATGCAATCTGATATAATTGCTAAATGGTCAAAGGATACGAACAGACAGTTCTCAAATGAAGAAATTAAAGCCATCCATAGTCATAAGAAAAAAAATGCTCTAAATCACTATTGATCAGAGGAGTGTAAATCAAAACGACTCTGAGGTACCACATCACACCTATCAGGTTGGCCCACATGACAAAATGGGATAATGATGAATGTTGGAGAAGATATGGGAAAATTGGAATACTAATACATTGTTGGTGGCGTTGTGAAATGATCCAACCATTTTGGAGAACAATTTGGAACTATGCCCAAAGGGCTATAAAAATGTGCATATCCTTTGACCTAGCAATAGCACTTCTAGGGCTGTATCCCAAAGAGGTCATGCAAATGGGAAAAGGCTCCACATGTACAAAAATTATTTATAGCAAGCTCTTTTTGTGGTGGCATAGAATTGGAAATCAAGAGGATGTCCATCAATTGGGGAATGGCTGCACAAGTTGTGGTACATGAATGTAATGGAATACTATTGTGCTATAAGAAATGATGAACAGGCTGACTTCAGAAAAACTTTGAAAGACTTGTATGGACTTGCATGATGTTGAGTAAAGTGAGCAGAACCAGAACATTGTACATAGTAACAGCCACGTTGTGTGATGACTAACATTGATAGACCTAGTCCTTCTCAGCAATGCAAGGATCTAAGACATCTCCAAAGTCTCATGATGGAAAATGCTATCCACATCCAAAGAAAGAACTATGGAGTTTGAATGCAGATTGAAGCATATTATTTGCTGTTTTTTTCTTCTGTTTTGTTTTGTTTTCTCTTTCTTGTAGTTCCTCCTATTGGTTCTAATTATTCCTTACAACATCATTAATGTGAAAATACGTTTAATAGGACTCCAGTATCTTCTAAAGTTATCATCCTATATTTATTTCTTCCCCCTTTCCCAGCCACATTCCTAGAAGAAATTGTCTTCTCTTGCTGACATTTCCTGTCTTCTCATTCATTCATTTCTCAACCCTTTGCATTCTGGTTTCTTACTCTCTTCATTCAACTGAAACTACTCTCTCCAAAGTTACCATTAATCTACTGATTACTAAACTAGATGTCTTTTTTCCAAATCCTCATCCTTCCTGATTCCTCTGTTGCACTGGACAGTGTTGACCTCTTCCTGAATAATTTTTCTTCTCTGGGTTTTTGTGACACTGATCTTTCCACCACACCATACTTTGAATAGTTGTTTGTTAAAGTGGCTCTTCTGTCTACATCTTTCACAGCTCCTCGGCTAGATCATCATCTGCATCATAGCCCCTAACTTTGGGTGCACTCCAGGGTGCTGTCCTTGGACAAGATGTTTCTACATTCTCGTTTAACGGCTGGTACTTGGTAAGCTCTGAATAAATGCCTATTCATTCATTCATTTATTCGTTGGTGACCACATCTGCTCCTTTGGGTTCAATATTATCTTTAGATAGACATATAGCTCACAAACATCTATATCCAGGCTTGGTCTCTCTCCTGAGCTTTGGTCCTCTTTGTCCATTAGACAGCATTTGGCCAACACCCTAATTTGAGCCTTCATTATCTTTTGCCTCTTGATCAGCCTCCTGGTCTTGAGTCTCTCCATTTCATTGATCATACAGGTGCCAGAGGGTTAGTCTTAAAGCACAGGTGTGACTATGTCACTCACTTATTCAAATAAAAACTCCTCTGTTTTGCTTTCAAAGCCCTTCACACTGGATCCCACCCACCCTTCGAGCATTCTTATACACTTATTCCCTTCATATACATCCTAATCCCAAGTGGCATTCTTAGAGTTCCTCACATGACGCTCTCCCTCTTGTCTTTGCCTTTGTCCTGGCTGCACCCCAGGCCTGTCATGTTCTTCCTTCTTACCTCCACCTCTTAGAATCCCTGCTTTCTTTCAAACCTCAGACCAAGTACTAGCATGAGAATTTTCCAGATCTCCCCAGCTGCTAATGCCTCCCATACCCCTCAGTTCTTGGTCTCAGAAAGCAGTGAATGTTTTCTAAAATATTGCTTCTATCCCTGCTCTTTCTTTTGACCAGAATAGCTGATTTGTTTGGGGTAAGCTGCATGGGTACACAGATATGAGAGGCCAAGGCACGTCCTATAGTTGTGTGTGTGTGTATGTATATATATAAAAAATAGATATGTATAGATATATAACCTCTTCCCAGATATCTCTAAGCCATGCTGTACCCTCTACCCATACACACACACACACACACGCACATACACACACACACATACATACATACATACATACACACATATACAACTATAGGACGTGCCCTAAAAGAATGCCCTAAAAGCCTTAGTATATTAAGCCTTTATAGCTTATGACTACACTAACTCTTCTGATACACCATGTAATTGTGTATTAATTGTGAGAAATCACACTAGTTTTCCATTTTGGAATGGTATGTATTTGAAGTACATTCCACACTTTAAAAAACTTAAGATCTTTTTTGTTGTTGATTAATCATGTCCAACTCTTCATGACCTCATTTGGGGTTTTCTTGGCAGAGATACTGGAGTGGTTTGCCATTTCCTTCTCCAGCTCATTTTACAGATGAGGAAACTGAAGCCAACAGGGTTAAATGACTTGCCTGGAGTCACACAGCTAGTAAGTATCTGAGGCTGGATTTGAACTCAGGTCCTCCTGACTCCAGGGACAGCACTCTCTTCACTGCACCGCTTAGCTTTTCCATGAATACAGTCAGAAGTATGTAAATCATGCCTTCTTGGTTTTCTGGGAATTGTTTAATGTCCTAATCGTTGTGCCTATAATTCAACAACATTCAAATCAAAAATCATTTTTCAAATACCTACTATGTATGAGGTGCTGGGATTATAAAAATTAATCCTTCATCAGACTATATTCTACATTTTTGGTTCAGAAAATGTAGTTACTCTAGCTAAGTATATACATGCATATGTATGTACTCGTGGGTGGTCAGTCTTGTGGGTCCATCCCAACTGCTGGTTCTTTTCACCAGTGCACTTCTCAATGACATAGCTATGAGTCATCTAGTAGCCTTGGCCATTGTGAGCTGGAAAGAGCATGTTAGCAATTTTATGGCTCAAAATTTCCCATTTTTATCAAATTCTTCCTCATCAGTAGCTTATCTAATTAAGATATCAGGCCTTTGAGCCTATAGTTAAAAATAATTCCCACAAACATAGCATCTGATGGGAAAGAGGCAGCACCAGACTGTGGTCTGGGCCTAGAGTCAGAACACATGGGTTCTAATTCCTAGTCTAATACTTATTAACAATTTGTTAAATTTTTCTTAATCTCCATTTCCTCATCAGCAAATCGGTGATAACGTCACTTGTACAATCAACCACACAGGGTCATTATGATGAAAATACTATATAAAAAGCTCCCCCTTCCTGCTATCAGCCTTGTCTCTGGCTCACAAGCCAACGGAGTCTCCACTAGGAAAAGAAAAAATCTTGAAGGTCAATGGCGAGTCCCAGACTTGTCTGAGTCCCTGGCATTCTCCTGTGGATGTGATACTTCTGGGGGTCTGTTTACTGGAGTTGAACCCACTTGACTGCCAACCTCGGGCAGTCAATCCCCTCCACAGAGGAGAAAATCACTTCTGTGGTGATGGGAAGCTAATTTATTTCCCTAATAACTTGTGGCCTAATAACAAATGGTGGTTTCATGGCTGTCTCCCCAACTAATAAATGTTCTGTGAATAATTAAAACTCTTTTAGCTGTGCCATAAAGACTTCCCCCTCCTCTGCTGGGCACTCAGCCAAGAGCTGGGCTTTAAAGGGCACGTGCCCATACATCCTCCCACAGAACCAGGTCTCTGGCACAAAGCAACACATAGAAGGGTTCAAAGGGGAGGAAAAGCAGAAAGAGGAACCAGAGGAAGGAAAAATATAAAAGCTCCAATCATAAGGGTGGAAAATTCCCTAATGGAAGGAGTTGGAGCCGAGTGAGAAGCCCTCAGCATCCTGTGTCATGTGGTACTTCATTGATTTGGTTCACAGAGATAAAAGATGCAGAAATTGACTATAGACCAGAAACTGAAGCTTCTAAATAACCATATTGGATGAGAAGTTGGGGGAGGAAAAAGGAGGAGGAAGGATTGAGTATAGTCTCTGTTCTAGAAGTAAATGCATTCTGAGGTGCTATTTCTATCTTTATGAGCAAATACAAAGATGTCCTCTTCCCTCCCCCATTACCTACCAAATCCCAAATCCCAGATCCAAAAAATAATAACTGGCTTGTTTGATGGCTGCACATATTTGGGGGAGTATCCCCAACAAACATCAATTAAAAATTATGCTTCTTTTCCCTACAAACTCAGGATTATGTGAGTGCAAAGAGGATGGGGTCTTTGTCCCACCCCTATTCCTACATAACATACCTTCTAACACCTCCTGCCAGCCTCAGACCACTTGGGATTCCAAAGAGTCAGTCAGTGGCCCTCCATGAAATCAAGCCCTGGAATAATGGATTTCACAGTGGAATTAATAAAAATCATCTCTCACCTAGTTTATTATCACCCGCACACCATGCCTCCACTCCAGTTCATCATCCCTTTTGCCCCCTCCCCCAATGGAACCCTGGATTCTTCCTCTGAGGCTCCTGGTTCTGATAGGTGAGTTTTCACTTTAATTTTCCTGGAACCAGATCTAATCTCTTCCCAGATATCTCTACACCATTCTGTACCCTCCATCCATTTTCTGGATCTACTGAATGTTCTGTCTTCCCTCTGTTAGAGTGTCAGTTCCTTGAAGGCAGGAACCATCTTGCTTGTTTGAGCTTGTATTCCCAGTTCTTAACACATTGCCTAGAACTAGTAATATATGTTTAAAATATTGTTACATATCAATATATTAATGTATGATAAGTTATAGCATACAGTGTTATATATAACAAATGTATTATATCATATATTAAAAATATAGTAATAAATGCCCTATTTACCTATCCTCAAAAACCCCAACATTTATGTAACATCCTCACTTACGTTATCTCATTTGATCCTCCCAACACTCATAGGAGGTGAACACTGTAGCTTTTACAATTCCCACTTTATGGACCAGAGGCAGTGTGGTGTAATGGATAGGGAGCTGGCCTCAAAGACTAGAGCCCTTGGTTTGAGTCCTGTTTCCGATATGGGATGGCTGTGACTCTAGGAAATTCATTTAACTTTCCAGTTAATTAATGCTTAGTACCTTCTCTCTACTAGCTCCAATTTATCCTGTATGCATCCTTTGTACCTAGCTGTTTTCATGTTGTATCCCCCACTAGACTAGGAGCTCTTTGAGAGCAAGGGTTGGTTTTTTGCCCTTCTTTGTATCCCAGGGATTCTTAGCAAAGTGCCTGGCCCATAATAGGAGCTTAATAATACTTAACTGCTTAATGTCTAATAAGTGCTTATTGATTGGTTCAGTATTCTAAGCAATTTTCTTAGCCTGTAAGTTGCAGAGGAGGTGGTGATTTGCATTGGTAGGAGTTTCCTTACCTAGGAATTCCTTATACCAATGAAATCACAGATTCAAACCCTGTCTCTACAGCTGAGGAAAAGGAGCCTCAAAAAAAAAAAAAGATGACTTGTCAAGGTCACATAAGCTAGTGAGTGTCACAGGCAGGATTCAAACCCAATGCTCTCCTGACTCCAAAGCCAGAGTCATCAAGCCCAGACAGGGCTTTCTATTACACTATAAATTGAAATGTCATGGCATGTTCTCCCCTGATCTCTGTCCTTTATATAGATTCACTGTCCTATTTGACAAGGTTTGAACAGTGATAAATAAAGTACTGACTCCAGTGCCAGGCTAGGAGAAGACACTCTCCCAGCTCCCCCAGCACCTTCATCATGTCTCCTGTAGACTGTGCAGGTTTGGGGAGAGGCTAAGCCTTGAGTGCAGTGTAAACGGTGTCTGCGGTAATGTCTCCAGAGTGACCTGGAAGAGGGTGAAGAGTGCCATCTTGAGGTCATAGAGTATCAAGAAATATATTGGCTTAGGATCTTGTTAAATATCTCTAAATCAGATGTTAGTGATAACCACAGTAAGGTAGACATTGAAGTCAAGTCTTCTGCTGTTCAGTCATATCCAACTCTTCATGACCCCATTTGGGGTTTTTCTTGGCAAAGATACTAGAGTGGTTTGCCATTTCCTTCTCCACCTCATTTTACAGATAAAGAAATTGAGGTAAAGAAGGTTGAGTGACTTGCCCAGGGTCATACAGCTAGTGTCTGAGACCGTATTTGAACTCAGGTCCTCCTGATTCCAGAGCTGGCACTCTATCCACTGTGCCACCTAGCTGCCTTATTTGTGTCCCTAGTGCCTAAGAAATGTACATTGAATGTTTGAGAAAATCAGTGGAAATT